GTGCTGATTAATTTTTGGCAAAGGCAGGTTTAGCTGTTCCAAAGATACAATGTGTAAAAATGGTCATGCAGTTTTTGAGACTACGGATCATCCGATCAGATTAATTCAAGAAACATTCTGCTTGTGTAGACAGTGTGACAAAAATGCTTTTACACAAAATTTCCTAATTTTAAAAACTTTCAAAAAAAAAATTTACAAAAAATTCAAAGTTTCAAAAAATTTTGAAATTTTTTATAATCAAAAAAATATCAAAATTTTTAAAATTTTTAAAAATATTAAAATTAAAACAAACCAAATGCTTACAAAAATTCTAGTATATTTCGAATTTTTTTAAAAAAATCTCATTTTCAAAAATTTTCAATTTTTCAAAAAAAATTAAAAAATCGTTTCTTTTCAAAAATTGCAAAGAAAATTGAACTTTTAAAAAGTTTACAAGATTTTGAAAAAAAATAAAAATTACCAAAAAAATATCAAATTTTTAAAAAAAATTGAACTTCATGTAAAATGTATGTATTTAAGTCAAATAAAGCAAATTTTCAAATTAAAATTAAAAATTTGAACAAATTTCTTGTAAACATACGCAAAAATTGTTTCTAGAATACGTTCGTCGCCTAATTTAATAGGCACTTACAAACTTACAGTATTTATAATAATTAATCTATTTCAAAATATATAAAACACTTATAATTAATTATTGAAAAAATTAATTGATTATTGATTATTATTATTTTCAATCATGGAATGTTCAATTACGATACGGAAAGTTTCAGCAATTTGACTTAAGGCACAATGTCATGCCCAACTAGTTTATTTATATTGACCAAGTTTTGGAGGTGCAACACGACTTGCGCACCTCTATGAGAGTAGGCTACAATTATTCACGTGTAAATAAAAAGGCTTAGTTTGCCATCTTTATCCATATCTATTGTGTATATTCAATAAATTGTGTATCGGTAACAAACATCGGCATTTGTTTGACAAAAGCATTTCTGCATGCATCAAAGCTGATTCATTCGATCAAGTAAGTGGTTGTAAAGAAGTTAATAATTTTGTAAATATAAAGTTAAGGTGTTAAGAAATATTTTTTTATTTCGAGAGTAATGGAATTGTGTGACAAAAGGAAAGCTGGATTCACACTAACCCTTGAATTTGAGGGCTACCTTTCTGAGAACGTGTTACGGATATTGTTGAATGATTCTTTGTTTTCAAGCATTGACTTTCGAAGCGAAATTTTATACTCACAACTAGCAGGAGACCAAAAAGCCGTTATTGTTTTTGATTCTACAGTTAATTTGTTTGATGTTATACAAAGCATAAATTGTGAACAAATACGGATATCAACACATGGTTATAATTCAACTTACAAAGTTGTGGGCATGGAAATCATAATGAATGATACGAAACTAAGTGTTTTGGAATTATTGCCTTCTCATAATTCACCTTTTTTGTTTTGAAAATACTATGGAAGTATTTGGAAGACTTTGGTTTGATATTTGCAATGTCACGCGATAAAAAAGGATGTGTTTGTACCGGAATTATTAGAGCGCTGATGATTTTGAAAGATGAGTCAAAAATTCCAGAAGCAAATGGACATGGCGTCTTTAAAATTGTTCCATATCTTCCATACATGTTTGAAAAATGGATTGACAAAACAACAGAGAAATTTTACGATGACTTTTGCTCATATGTTGAAAATAAACAGATGGCAGCTGAAGATGATAATACTGATTAATAATATAAGTGCAAAAAACATCAATTCAATAAAATTTCTATAATGTTTGCATAATTGATATGTAATTAATCAAATTCTATGAAATGGTATATATTATTGTATATATACCCATATACTTTCCAGAATAAATTTTTATTTTTATAATTGTTATTAATTTTCTTATTTATTAATCATTTTATTATGTAATAAAGAACATATATATAGATTCATAATGATATTTAATATTTATTATTTAAATTTTATTTTTACATCACTTTCAAGTTTATAACAGGCTGAGTCAACTCCCACAAGAATTATTTAAATTATAATATAATTATGATAATTTAATTAACCTCTCGTAGGGTAATTAACTTCCCGTAAGGTAAGTTTATAGTAATCGCAAAAAAATCGAAAATGATTAAAATTGATATTTCTTTACGTTTCAAAGGTTCTTGAACATTTTGGCATACCTTAGAAAAAATGGATGTTATGTGTGTGTATGTGCGGATATAATTTTTCGTCGACGATTTCAAGAACACGAATCAACCAATTTGAATGATTTAAAAATCATTCGATTCCTATTGATGAGCAGACGTACTGATTAGTTTTTGGCAAAGGCAGGTCTAGCCGTTTCGAAGATACGAAGCAAAAAATGCCAAAAATGGTTTAATTTTTTAATTCAATTTTTCAGAAAACGGAACGTTTGATTTAAATAATTTAAATAAAAAGGCAAGTCTAGCGGTTTGGGTGATCCAATGAAAAAGTAAAAAAAAAGTGCTATTTGGCGGACAACAAATTTTGTTTACATTTTTTTGGATTTCGTATCAATGTTTATTCGTTATACTGCAACGCGGCGCCAACGCGCTTCGTTTCTACGCAGCAAATAAGTTCAAAATTTCCAAAAAATTCAAAGTATAAAAAAAAATCTATGTTTTACAAAAATACAATTTTGAAAAAAATCTATATTTTTAAAGTTCTAAAAATAATTGAATCTTTTTTAAAAAAAATAATTTTTGGTATGGAAAGTTACAGCAATTTGCCTTAAGTCACGATGCCATGCACCACTAGTTCATAATTTGATTAATGATTTTGATTTAGAATTTGACTGGCTTGGAGAAGTAGCAAACTAAAATAAATAACAGTAACATATAATTTAACGTTGTTACTACTTAAATTTAAATAGATATTTGTTTATAAAGAATAATTAAATTTAAATAGATATTTGTTTATAAAGAATAATTAAATTTAAACTGTCGTAGTTAAATAGTGCTTAAAAATTAGTAATTAAATAACAAGTACACAGAAGTCATTCATAAAGATTTAGTTTTACGGTTTTGTGTACAGGACTTGGATAAATAAGTTATATGAAATGATTAAAGTTTGGACGAGATATTTCATTCTATTATCTCAATATATGAAAATGACTATTAGTGACAAAATACGCCATTTGTGCTTGTAGATTTTTAAAACTATAATAAATCAAGTATTTTTATTAAAGAGATTAATTATTAAAAAAAAAAGTATAAAAGTACCTACAAAAGTAATTAAAAGAACGATATATACATATTATGCGATAACTATTTATTTTTGCCTTGGAAACTCAAAATGCATCTATAAATCTGTCATCAATAAACATATTCAATCACATGACGGATGCTTTTATATTATAATCAATTATAATGTTCATTATTGCAATGGGTTATTCCAGATTAAGATTAGGCAAATTTCTTCAAACTTATTTCAAAATAATCCCATCACCGATGCAATATCCACGTAATGTAAATATTATATAAATTTATATTAGCAGTCGTCCTGTGAACAAATCTATTCGAAAACAGGTAAAGGCGTTTTTACCAGTCAGTTCATTCATAAATCCCAGAAGAAGAAAGGGTACAGGTGTTGACAACCTTTGCAAACAATTGGAATAGATAAATATTCATATCAAGGCGTAATTCTATTTTACCATAATTAAGAAAAATATTATTAATCACAACTTGTATATGACTTTTTTCTTAAATAAATTTTATTATAACTATAATTAACTTCCCGTAGGGCAAGTTATTGTAATTGGACGATTTAAATTTTAATGAAAATAATTTCAGAAAGGTGATTTATTATTTCACATTATCTATCTACCAAAAGCACGGTGTTACAACGACTACAATATGTCTGATAATTAATTTTTTTACTTATTTTTGAGTAAATTGACTTGTTTCGAAGTAATTCTTTTCAGAAATTAACGCAAATTACAACTAATACAAATAGAATTTATAAAAATCATAATAAACTTCAATTATTATCATAAATCAAATAAAATATATAGTGTTTTCTGTAACACAATTTACATGTGCTTACATATTACGTTCAATCATCTTTACGCAAAGTATATAATTTCTGTATGATACAACTAGCCCCGAAATTTTGTTTGAACCTGGTGTGATTTTTTTTACAATAATCAAAATAACTATGCAATTTATACAACCATTTCCACTTGCAAATTTTGCAAAGCCTAAATCAAGCCTAAATTTTGCTGCCGGAGCGGAGGCATGCGAATAGAAAGGGTTAACAATCACAAACTTTTTTTCACATTATCTAATTTTGATGAATTTGGAACGAAATAAGATATAAAAATTATCGATAATATAACGCAAATCGAAATTTTCTGATAGATCAATTACCTGTCCAAAATGATGGACCTGCACAGTTCTGTTTATTGCGTTGGCTTGCGGGACAGTATTTATGATAATATTATGCAGGACGGTTCGATGTCCAATGAAGACAAAAAAATATTTTAACATCATTAAATTATTGAACTATTGAACAACGCCTGTTACTAGTTACACCTGTTACATATAGCCCCTGGCTTCACTACCTTCTGTTTTATCATGGTCATTTACAATGCGAGTTGGATTTCGTTTATTAACACCGTAACTCTTTTAAGAATGTAAAGACTTTTTATATTCTTCCATTTATATTCAAAAGTTATTGGAGACTTTAACACAATCCTGAAGAGTTAGTTAAGGGAGCTCTTACAAGCCTCCTGACTGTCTTACAAAAGAGCCCTAGAATGTTCCGAACATGTGATATGTTAGTCTTTCATTACACTACTTTCACTACAGTTATACCCTTTGCACTTAAGAGTTCTGGTTTTTGGTCGAATCACAATTAAAACCTTACAAACAATTATATAACACTCGAGAACACAACTACAAAATGACAACCAACACAAAATGGACTTCTCATACACAATAGCCAATATACAAGTTTTGATATTTTCAGTATTGTTTGAGGTTTACTAACCTGCCAAATTTGACATCAGCTCACTAGCGCCACATTGGCGCAATTTATTTGGGAGAAGGAACACTTGTCGTGAACTCTGATTTTGTTTGAGAGACAGTTGGGTCTGGTAAGCAGTAAGCAATAAGGACCGTTGTTAAATTAATCCCAAAGTACAATATTTTAAACTACGATTTATTCATTATTGATGATGTATAACTGAAAAAAATTTATTAATACTTTAGTTAATACAAAGTGTTTTTTTTTTTTTTTTAATTTAAGAAGTTATTCAAATATGGACGAAGAAGAAAGAGCACATGGTTTCACATTAAAATTTAACTACACAGGCGAGGAGTTGACTGAAAAGAAACTGTTTACGTGGTTAAATCGATGTTTTCCTCAAAATCAAAATATTTTATATGCACGATTAGCAAGCAAGAAAAAAGTGATTATTGTTTATGATTCTACAACAAATGTTTTCGATGTCATACAAAATATGGGAAGCGAGGTACAAATGTGCTGCATAGGCAAGGAATATGCCGAGCATTACAGAATTATCGGCATGGAAATAATAATGAATGATACAAAACTATGTGTTGTGGAGTTGTTGCCTTCATTGACATCGTCTTGTTTCAATCTGACAGTACTTAGGAAATACTTAGAACAATTTGGCAAGGTATTCGAAATTTCACGCGAAAGAAAAAAGGGTATCTGCACTGGAATTATTAGAACGCTGATGGCTTTAAAAGATGAATCTCAAATTCCAGAAGTAAAAGAATATGGAGTCTTTAAAATTATTCCATATCGTTCGGACATGTTTAATTATTGGAGTGATGAAACAACAGAGAAATTTTACGATGACTTGCTCTTATGTTGGAATTACACCGAAAAAGATGCCGATTATTCAGATTAGATTCAAGTTAGAAATAAATGATTATGATTCAGATTAGAAATAAATGATTACGTAATTAATAATTCACCTTTTACAAGCAACTATATATATATATATATATATATATATATATTTATATATACAGTTGTATATGATATTACATATTTGTTAAGATTTAAAAATATAATATAATAATGCTAAATATAATAAAAATATCCACAATGCTTTTTCTTGATAATTTATAGGTATTTATTTTGACATCAATTGAAATTGCTGTTTGGAATGATAAATGCAATACGTTCTTACATTTCATAATAGTGCATCTTCCATAGTTTCATTGGCTTTAGCAAGTAGCTTACTGATCCAGAATAATTTAATAACACTCAAACTAGTGGTGTGCATGGCATCGTGCCTTATGGTAAATTGCTGAAACTTCCCGTACCGTAATTAAACATTCGAGTAATGAAAATAATCAATAATTGTTTTGAAGATTTTCAAATAGATTATTTATTATAAATACATACTGTAAATTTATAAGTGCTTTTTAAATTGGGCGACGAGCGTATTTTATAAACAAGTTATATGTATGTTCACAAGAAATTTATTCATTTTTTTAAATTCGATTTTTTTGATAATTTAAATTTTTTTTTCAAAATTTTTAATTTTTTTTATAAGTTTGAAATCTTTCGGATTTTTTTAGAACCTAAAAAAATACACAAAATGTGTACACAATATTAAAATCTCTATAAAATATCTGATAATTTGATGTACATATGTCCAATAAACATTTTTGACCGCCAAATGACTTTTTTTTTAAATTATTTTTATTGAGAGTCCATAACCGCAGGACCTGCCTTCCCAAAAATTTTACCAGTTGTTCATTTTGTCAATACAGTAAAATGTTTTTTGAATTATTAAAATCGGACGCTCCGTTCTCTTAAAAACTGAGTTACCGATTTTGGCACCTGTTGCCCCATATCTTCGAAACCTGCATTCGACAAAAACTAATCAGCACGTCTCCTTATCAATACGAATCGAATTTTTTTTGAATTATTTAAATCGGTTGATCGGTGTTCTCGAAATCGTCGACGAAAATTTGTATCCGCACACACGCACACACACATACACATATACTTGCACATATACACACACAGACACATCCATTTTTCCTAAGGTATGCTAAAATATTCAGAAACCTTTGAAACGTAAAGATATATAAAAATATTTATTAACTTCCCGTAGGGTAAGTTATAATAATCGCAAAAAAATTGAAAATGAAAATTTTTATATAATTTTACGTTTCAAAACTTTCTGAACATTTTGGCATAACTTAGAAAAAATGGACGTATGTGTGTGTGTACGTGTGTGCGTGCGTGTATGTATGTGTATGCGAATACAAATTTTCGTCGACGATTTCGGGAACACGGATCAACCGATTTGAATAATTCAAAAAACATTCGATTCGTATGGATAAGGAGACGTGCTGATTAGTTTTTGGCAAAGGCAGGTCTAACCGTTCCGAAGATACGGGGCAAAAAGTGCCAAAAACGGTACCTCCGTTTTTAAAAGAACGGAGCGTCCGATTTGAATAATTCAAAAAACATTTTACTTGTATTAACAAGATGTAGAATTGATCAAAGTTTCATGAAGGCAGGTCTATGCACATCAAATTATCAGATATTTTATAGAGATCTTAACAATAAGTATAATTTTTTTTTACATTTCTATGGGTTCCGTACCAATGCTTATGCGTTAGACGGCGGCGCGGCACTTGCGAGCTTTGACATTTCGTCTCTATGCAGTTCAAGCAGTGCGATTGCTTTGAAAAAACGTTCAGAATTTCCAAAATATGTCAAAATAAAGAAAACATTTTTTTTCAAAAAATTTTTTTTGTTTTCAAAAAAAAAATTTTTTCTCAAAAAAAAATTTTTTTTTTTCAAATAAAAAATTTTTTTTTTCAAAAAAAGTAATTTTTTGTCAAATTTATAGTTTCTCAAAAATCTATTTTTTTTTAAGTAAATTTTTTTCAAAAATGTTAATTGTTTTTAAAAAAATAATAATTTTTGGTACGGGAAGTTCCAGCAATTTGCCTTAAGGCACGATGCCCTAATTGCCTTAAGACAGAATTCCACTTACAGCTAGTTTGTTTTTACATTTCTATGGGTTCCGTACCAATGCTTATGCGTTAGACAGCGGCGCGGCAATTGCGCGCTTTGACATTTCGTCTCTATGCAGTTCAAGCAATACGATTGCTTTGACAAAAAGTTCAGAATTTCCAAAATATGTCAAAATGAAGAAAACATTTTTCTTTTCAAAAAAAAATTTGTTTTCAAAAAAAAAAAAAAATTTTTAATAGTAATTTTTTGTCAAATTTATAGTTTCTCAAAAATCTAATTTTTTCGAAGTAAATTTTTTTCAAAAATATTAATTGTTTCTAAAAAAATAATAATTTTTGGTACTGGAAGTTCCAGCAATTTGCCTTAAGGCACTATGCCTTAATTGGGCTAAAGCGTGAACGATTTTTTTTTTTACTTTTCTGCTATTGAAGAAACGGTTTTTTGCCGACCATTGAGAAAAACTGACAAACGCTAGTCCTTATTGAGATACATCGAATTGCTTTTAAATTTTTAAAATTGGTCGAGCAGTTTTTTGAAAAAACCGTCGACAAAAGGTCAAATATCGGTTCTCTCTCTCACACACTATATACTTTTTCAAATTAGGTCTCATTCGATTCAGAATTGTTTGAAACGTCTAGAAAACGTAGAATTAGCAAATCGGATGTTCGGCCAAACTTCTCCTTCGGGAAGTTAATATTATTAATTATTGCTCAAAAAGGTTATTCCCGCCTGTTTAATTTCATACAAAAATTCTGACAAAAAGTCACCGTGTGAAGTTGCAATGCAATACAAAACATTTTATACCTGTTTCGTCCTGGTCCTTTTCATACCTCGGCATAACACCTTATTTATATCTTTTAAGGCAAATACGTAGGGTTTTCCGGTGGTATTATTAATACTAAGAACCGTAAAAGTATAAATGACACATTTAGGCATATTGTTATTGTTATCGACTTATTGTGCTTCCCATATTGTTAGGAAATCATAATTTATTAGTCTGTTGGCAAAAGGTGAAAAATTCATTTCGGTATTATGATGCCAGCAGAAAAAATTAACTCACGAAGGAATTGAACATTCGATTCGGCAGGGATAATGCTTAGATGCTAATTTAATATTTGATCTTTTTTAGGGTTAGGGGAGTTTGGTGATACATGGGACCTACAAGCACAAGTTCCGTGTTCAAAACCCGCGATGCGTGCCATATGGTATTAAGCAATAGTGATATCTACTTAAAAATAAAGATCAAAAATATGTTTTTAAGTAAAAATTCGGGGTATTTCTGCAGAAAAGTTAAGCCAAAAATACTAATTTGAAGTATATAAAATATATATAATATAATACAATCACAACTATATAGGACATCCATTGGATCATCATCAAAGCAATATGTAAATATGAGTACAAACTAAATAATTATTAATTGTCTTTATGAATTAGACAGATTGTCATTCATTGAAAAATTTAAAAGTATTTTGAAGTTATAGTAATCGCAAAAAAATTTAAGATATCAATTTTTATATATCGAAGTTTTAGAGGTTTCTGAACATTTTAGCATACCTTAGAAAAAATGAATGGGTGTGTGTGGGTGTGTTCGGATACAAATTTTTGTCGGGACCACGGTTCAACCATTTTGAATGATTCGAAAAATATTCGATTTCTATTGATGAGGAGAGAACTGATTAGTTTTTGGACAAGGTAGGTCTAGCTGTTTCGAAGATAAGGGGCCAAAAGTGCCAAAAACGGCAACTCAGTTTTTGAGAGAACGGAGCGTCCGATTTTAATAATTCAAAAAACATTTTACTTGTATTAACAAGATGTAGCACTGATGGAACTTTTGACTAGGCAGGTCTAGCGGCTTTCGAGATCTAGTGAAAAAAGTAAAAAAAATTGCCTTTATGCGGTCAAAAATGGTCATTAGACATATGCACATAAAATTATCAGATATTTTATGGAGATTTTAACAATAAGTATAAATTTTGTTTACATTTCTATGGGTTCCGTAACATCATTTGTCCGTTAGACGACGACGAGGCGCTTACGCGCTTCAATATTTTGGCTCTATAGCAGTACGATTGCTTTGAAAAAAGTTCAAAATTTCCAAAATATTTCATTAGGGAAGAAACATTTTTTTTTCCAAAAAGTCTATTTTTTCCTAAAAAGTCAACTTTTTTCAAAAATTTAAAATTTTTCCAAATTCTGTTTTTTTTTTCAAATTTAAAAAAAAATCTTTTTTTAAAAAAAATATTTTCGGTATTCCCGTTCCAGCAATTTGCCTTAAGACACAATGCAATGCACCACTAGTTATTAATTGTCTTTATGAAATATACAGCTCGTTTTCTTTATAGTAAAATAAAAAAGTATTTTTTTATAGTTGAAGGAAAACTATATTAGGAGTTGTTTTTTACCAAATAAGAAACAGTTCTAAAATTGTCAAGATATATGCAATTTTGGAAGATTTAAAATTCATTTAAAAATGTCTTTTTCCAAAAAATTATAATATTGATTATTTTTACAAAAGTTTGATTCAGTTTAATTAATTCTCATAAATATTAGGCAATATTACAGTATTTATAATAATCTATTTGAAAACATTTAATATTGCTCGAACATTTCGTTACGATACGCAAAATTCCAGCAATTTGCCTTAAGGCACGATGCCATACACCACTAGTTCAAATTACATACGATACAAAATATAATATGTGTAATACATATATAATTATATAAATGCCGTTTGAATTTCAATTTTTATTTATTTAATTTATTCAATATATCTTTTCAATTACTAATTTACATTTTGTTTATTGGCTTCTACATATAACATAAACCAGTAATTTGCCACTTTTTTTCAAAATAATGACTAATATGTCCAATTTAGAGTTATTTTTAAACAACTTTTCAAAAACAACAAATTTAGTTAATTTATTAATGCATTTCATAATTTCACTCAATGGTTATACGCATATGTTAAAAATA